TTGATTTTATTGAAAAAATTTCTAAAATAACTTTTCCGGAGAATTGTAAGATCGATTGATGGTTATGCTGGGACTTTTAAATTCGCTATTCATAATTACATATTGAGAAAACGAATGTAACAGAAACTTATAGAGATATATTACCCTTACAAAGAACTACTGAAGTGATTAGAAAAACAAATAAGTTACATAATATATATTTTTTTTATATTGAATATACAGTATACTAACTAATGAATTTAAAGGCAAGGGCAAACATTCTAATGAAACCCTCGTCTATAAAAAGTCTTTTAAAAAAACCGAATTGCAAGTGAATCTGAAAAAAAAGCTTTTAAGGACTGAGCATAAAAAGCTTGCGATTCAGAAGGATAAAATAATGAGTTGAAAAAGAAATTATGTTGAAAAAGAAATTATATTGAAAAAGAAATTATGTTGAAAAAGAAATTATGTTGAAAAAGAAATTATGTTGCGAGAGAAACTTTTATATAATTAAACTTTTTAATTAATATGTATTTTGCAAGTTGTCATATAATATAACGTTATTGTTTTTTTAATTAACATTGCAAATACGAATGTAAGGCATGTCTAAATTAATTACACATTTAAAATTTATTAATTTACCGGTTTATTTATCTACGTTATTGTTATATGGTAAACTATGGGAAACATCAAGATGTCAATTTATAATTTACCGGTTACAATACCTAACAAATTAGATTGAGTCCAGTAAGCCAACTACTATTTTTCTTTTTTTTTGTTAAAAAAAATATATATTATAAAAATTTTTAAATAAGAAAAAATTCACATCAATACCATTATTACCTGCTATATTCTTGCTTTCTTTTCATAGAATGGCTTTCTATGATTTGCTGGTGTAAATAATTGTCCGGGTAACTTACTTATATAATTGAATTATTTTTTGAGAATGTAACATTTCACTAGCGAAAATTACCTTTAAACAAAGCAGAGTAATTGTTAATACAATAATATATAGTTATATCGAATTTTTCTTGATTCATTTGATTGATCCATTATTAGGATTGTTAACGGCTTCTTTGAGATCGACTTTAGCTGCATAATGGAGCTGAGCCGATCCAAGCCAATTGAGCTGTAGCTTGAATCGTAATCAAGTTATAGCTTAGAGTTATAGCTTGAGCTGTGGCTTGAGCCATGACTCATAATTATTATGTGATTAATACACGTTTCTAGTTATTAAAACTACGGCTTGAGCCATAGCTACGAAAGCTACTGTTTGAGCTATGGCTCAAGTTACGGCTCAAACCACAGTCCCAATAGTCATAGCTCAAGCTGGAGCCATGACTTTTAGGAGCCAAGCCAAGCCATCCAAGCCGATAACAGCCCTATCCATTATCATGTGTTGATTTATATGAATTGGCCAATCATATGGTTATTCTTTCATGAATGTGAATTCAGCGGAAATTCTGTGTTACCTCCGTGTTTATACCCTTAATTCCGTGATTCTGCGGCATTCCGTGAAATGCAGAAAATCATCGTTCCTGCCCTAACCCTAACCCTAATTTAACCAGTGTTGTCACGTCTATTATGTCCAAGACTTTTTTTGCACATGTCCACGATTGTCCAAAGAATATTTAGGCTTTAAAATTTAATAAATTAGTTTTAAAAAGATATGATTATATATTTTTTATAGTTGTGAAAATTTTTGCTTAAAATATTAAAATAGGTTATCTTAATAAAATTTTGTTATTTAGATTTAAAATTGTTCGCGATTGTCCATAATTTGCCCAAAGCTGTCCCGTGACAACACTGAATTTAACTGCGTAAGAATCCAAATCCACTTAAATTCCATTCCCACTTACAACATATAGACGTAGTTCAGTAGTTACGTTAAAATTAAATATGTACTGTACGCATTTACTGTACATAAATACAAATTTTATTATTATTAATTATTTTAACATACGTAGCACGTAATTATATATTAATAATTAGCTCGCGAGTAACTCGCGAGTTAAATTTTCATGATTCGAAGAATGATAAATTCGAATTATTCGAGTCACGAGTTGACGAGTCCAATCACTAGTCTAATCTACTATGGCAAAACTTAAAACGGATAATACACATTATATTGAACATCGCAACTATTACATTCTGTTTTTGTTTCAGGATTAGTAGCTTCACCCCATTCAAAGGTTTGGCATCCATAATATATTGAAACAGCAACCGTTACTGTTGCACCACGCGGAATGTTATAACTGTCACCATATATGGACTCCACAGCTACTGGATTAAGTCCTTCATACTGGGTATTGGTATTGTCTTCATCATAACCATTTATAAAATATGCGTCCTTGGTAAACCTATGTTGATCTCCATTATTAGGATTCAAAGTAAAATGACCAAGTGCTGCAGGTGCAACTATTTTGTAACCAAATCTTTTAGGATCTTTCTTAGGCGCTTGAAGAATAAGTATAATAGAATTATTTCCAGTCCAGCGCGCATCTAAAACTTTTGGTTCAAGATCATCAGATTCTATAATAATTCAAAATTATAAAATTTATTAGCGAATGAATATTATATTAGCTTAATAACTCCAACAACACTAGTAA